CACTTGGATTAGCAGCTTTACTTCGAAGTCCTTGTAACAGTAAGCGTATTACCATTTTTGCTTGTTTTATATGTTTCACTTTGTGATGTCTCTTGCTGGGGATCTTTTTGGATTGTTGCATAATGTTAATTATTGATGTGGATCCTTTTTTTTTCTTGTTCAATAGACCCCGTCATTTGCCAACATCATTGTTCCTCTGTCTTAATTTATTGACTAATTGATTTCTACATGTAGTGGAAAATCATATGTAATTTAGAACATTTTAATAAATATATAATAGTCTGGTCAGGAAACCTGATTAGATTTAGTGTTTCTCAGCTATATTGAGTGAAACTTGTATTTTTACAGATAATTTTCTTGTTTTCCTTAATAAAATATCATTATTATGAACACTTACAGTTTCTAGTGGCAAATAAAAAAAATCTCCGTTCTATTTTTAATTGATAAAGGTTTTTTTTTGTAGGTGGCGCTTGTGTCACTGATTCTGATGTTTAATAAACTAGGTACAATTTTTCTCTCAGTTTTGATTCTGTTTTTCATATATAAAATAATTTCAGATAACCATCTTAAATTGTTACAAATATTTTGTAGTGAAATGGTTGAAATTTAATTACTCTGTGATAAAGTAGACTCAGTTCTGATTGTTCAAACGAAAGAAATGCATATTTCTGTTTTTCAGTTGAAGGTAGAAGTAGCGAGTGTAAAAAAAAGTTTTCATTTTCAAGAGTGAACAAAATTTAATAGTTCACAGATTCATGTTGTAGACTGTAGCACAGAGCCAGTTTTTGTGTGTATTGTGATTAAGCTCTTGAATGAAACTGTTAAAAGATACTGTGATTGTTCTGGTTGTAAATAAAATATGTATGAAGAAGTGTATGATTAATTATTTTCAAATATGTAAAACCTCATTCCTGTACAAAATGCTTTAATAAATGTGTACAGTGTGTGATAAATAGCAGGTACAAACGAAACTGGCAAAGGTAATTTAATTTACATTTTAGTCAACAGAGGACACCACTTACACCCAGCATGATATCTCTATTTCCTAGCTGATTCATCAGCTTTATTACAAACATAAGATCAATTTTTTTTTATCATGCTGTCATAAGGAGTAATACTATAAGAATAAAAGCTTGGTTTATATTTGGAAATTTTAAATATTTGAATTGACAGCAAATGGAATTAGGCCTAAAACTGTGGTAGCTTATAAAGAGGGTTATGAGTATACTAAAGCAATTTTTAATATTCATATCAGCAAGGCACATGACAATCAAATCTGTTTATATTATTTGCCAAGGTCAAGTCAGCAGCCACATTTTGTGTGGATTCCTGTGCCAGTGGACTGTAAAAACAGACGTTGATTAACTGAACATGCATAGCCTTGGCAATGACCCGTATTGGAGTAATAATATTGACTATAATTCCAAATTTACTATGTGTATCTACATAAGTCAGTAGTACACACAATTTGTACTTGAGATTTGACAATGACAGGTTAGAGTGAAGAATACCCGACTGTATTTCCAGTATCCCTATATATTGTTTCTGGTATTTACAACTATGAATGATCACTATATCAGTAATGTAGGGTAAAATGAACAGATGATAACTCTGACATTAAATTTGTAATACCATGAATGGCACTCTGGAAAAGGTCACAACATGTGCACTTTGACCTCCACTTTTACACATATGGTTAATAGAAAGTATACAGGGAGCAATGGTGTGCTTTTGACATGATAGTCTTTCAGTGCATTTTCTATTGCAAAAGGCTTCACAGTAAGGCAATTGTTAAGGTGCAAGGTCATAAGACCTTTTTAATAATCAACCTCCTTATAATCTCTTTACTGTCATCCAGCATCTCTCAAGTTCTAATATGTACTTACTGGTTAATTGTTTCTTCTTACTAAGTAATGATTTCAAACATGAAACTATAATCATCAGCCTTTGTCTGAAATAAAAACGTTTGTCATATCTCACATGATGTGGTAATTAAATATAATCTGTCACTCAATATTCTCCATTCCTTGAGTTAAAATGGTCTTTTACATTCTTGTAATGTGACATTTAAAAATTTAGTTCCAAGTAATTTTTTGCATGGAAAGTAAACTAAATTTTTGTTTTTCATTTACAGTTTTCAAAGAGTGTTAAAGCTAGTGAAAGAAATTTAAAACGTGCTTTTACAGTAGCATAAATGAAGAGAGGACAAATTTAAGTGGATGTTCTGAAAATCAAATTACTTTAACTCAGCCGGTGAAAGTTTAGAAACTTTATTCTCTCAATACTCGAGAACAAACAGCCCATATTTTCACACATAACATCATTTAAATATAGAGTCCCTTTACAGAAAGGTAATCTTAAAATCCTCTTTACCCCAGACCTGTTGAGTATAAGGTAGTTGCTGTGTAAGACACATTCCACTATTACCAATATTTCCTGTGTAGAGACTAGAAAAGACATAGGTTTGTGGTTGTTCTTAATGAGATTTAAATTGCAGTATATACAACAGTCATGATCTTTTATTTACAGTTCAAACACATCCTATCAAATGGAAAAATTGAATGCCAATAAAGCAACAGAGTATACTGGACCACTTAACTCTCCAGTCTTAGAATGCTAAGCAGATGTTCTCTGGTAATCACAATTGTTGTCTTTTGACTATTTTTAATATTAAAACTCTTCCAATTCAGAATTAAACGTTTTTAAAAGACTATATCAAAATGAAGGAAAGCTTGGTGCTAATGCATTGAAGGCATGTTGTAAAAACATTTTAGAATCTTTATACGACAGTTTATTAATCTAATTACTAGTTTTTAGTGTTCCAGAAGGCACTCAAAATTTAGATGATGGTAAAAAAAAACTACTCTACCTATGTATATTTCACTACCTGGTGGAGTGTAGTAAAGACTAAATGTTAGTTATTAAAACTACAGATTGTAATTCTGTACAAATTATCAATGTAGTTTTCTCTTCAGTACTTATTAAGTGATATTGTAAGGAAGGGACCAGGTGGGTGTTACCTGGAGACAATGAGTATAAACACAAGGAAGGAAGGAGCTAGGTGGGTGTTACCTGGAGACAATGAGTATAAACACAAGGTTGGATAGTTCCAACTCAGTAAACAGATGGGTGTTACCTGGAGACAATGAGTATAAACACAAGGAAGAAAGGAGCTAGGTGGGTGTTACCTGGAGACAATGAGTATAAACACCAGGAAGGAGCCAGGTGGGTGTTACCTGGAGACAATGAGTATAAACACAAGGAAGGAAGGAGCTAGGTGGGTGTTACCTGGATACAATGAGTATAAGCACTAGGAAGGAGCCAGGTGGGTGTTACCTGGAGAAAATGAGTATAAACACAAGGTTGGATAGTTCCAACTCAGTAAACAGATGGGTGTTACCTGGAGACAATGAGTATAAACACAAGGTTGGATAGTTCCAACTCAGTAAACAGATGGGTGTTACCTGGAGACAATGAGTATAAACACAAGGTTGGATAGTTCCAACTCAGTAAACAGATGGGTGTTACCTGGAGACAATGAGTATAAACACAAGGTTGGATAGTTCCAACTCAGTAAAGAGATGGGTGTTACCTGGAGACATTGTTGTGTTTCTGAATGAACTACAAAGTATCACCCTACAGTGAAAGTGTAGTAACATTTGGTGAAGATGTGCTGTGTTGATTTTAATATATATCTGAATGAACTACAAAGTATCACCCTACAGTGAAAGTGTAGTAACATTTGGTGAAGATGTGCTGTGTTGATTTTAATATATATCTGAAACAACTACAAGGTATCACCCTACAGTGAAAGTGTAGTAAGATGTGCTGTGTTGATTTTAATATATATCTGAATGAACTACAAAGTATCACCCTACAGTGAAAGTGTAGTAACATTTGGTGAAGATGTGCTGTGTTGATTTTAATATATATCTGAATGAACTACAAAGTATCACCCTACAGTGAAAGTGTAGTAACATTTTGTGAAGATGTGCTGTGTTGATTTTAATATATATCTGAATGACATTCTAAAGGAAGTCTTCTTACTGTAAAATAATTCTCCTGTAATGACAGATAATCAACAATAAAAACCTGCAAAAGTTAACAATCTGTGTTACAATGTAATCTGACTAGACAGCTTTGTTACAGTCACAAGAGGTAAACTTTGTACCCATAGATATATATTACTTGTATAAACAACCAGGAAAACACTGTGGAAGAGGTTAAGATCACCAGAGAGCCATTTAATAGAGACTAACAATTGTCATGTTTAATTGTTAGTCACATATTGGTTGAACACTGACATTGTTCTTTCACGTTGCTACACTGGAGGTTCCAGAAACACATGGATTTATTTAATCACTCATGAGGTTTAGTAACATATAAATTTTAAATTTGGACTACCACACCCCCTTTTTTTTTTTACTTGGCTATAAAGATCAAAAAGGGAAAATATTTTGTTGGTTCCAATAAGATTGATCTGAAATTTTATTGAATTCTTTTATAGAAATAAAGTAAAGTAAAAAAAAAACAAACAATTATGTGAACTTTACATAAAAGTAAACAAGTAATTTATTATTCTTGAAGTAACACGATATTTCATAATATCATAAATATATTGAAAGTTCAGGTTAGATTTAACATTTCTTAAGTTACTAACTTTTGGTTGTCTACATCTCGTTTAAAAATTAAAATCTTGTGTTTGTAATTATTTTCACTCTCGAAGTCATTGAGATTGTGAACATTCTTAACAAATGATTCAATATCAAACATTTTCTACTGTATTATATTAAAAGTGCAATTTCTTATTCAAGAACTTTTAAGACAGTTTTAACATGTCTTCCGAGAAGAGTATACCAGCTTGTTTCACTAATATATTACAGTGACATACACATTAGTGCAAGCCAACATGATGAGCTATCTGTACTAACCAAAACCCTGGAATTAAGTGTTCTGAGTCCGTAAAGTTACTGCATGTTACAGTGAAGGAAAGTACCGATTTTATTAGGCAAAGCTACACAGTGGACTACCTATACTCTGTTCACCACGAGAATCAAACCCTGGATATTAGCACTGTTGAGTTCATAAACTTGCTGCTGACTCACCAGGGGAACTACAATAAAGTACATTAGTTCAGTTTACTACAATGATAAAGTGATTTGTATAATTCAGGATATGATAACATTGTAAAACCAGACCTCGGTGTTTACAATATGAGAATAGTACATTTCTGGCCTACACATAATAAAGAGATTTCTGTAATTAAAAATGGTTAAAATTAATTATGATACACTGAAAGTTAATACAATTGGAAAATACTTATGTGGCTAATTTATTCTATCGAGCTAACATTATGTGGTTAACTACCATACCAAGAAGTCCTTGAAAAGGACATTTCAACCACGTAGTGAAGATTTGGTGTAAGATTAATTACTCTCCCTCTGTAATAAGTGAGGTTACAGAACATCCAAGAAACAGGATAAGTAACTTAATAAGTAAAGATCAGAAACGCAACGTGTAGCACTTACATACAACAGTACAGACTCTGTACTATCAGCTCACATTCATAAGTAAATTGTACTATCAACTCAGATTGATGGCTGTGTAAAGGACATAAATTCTGTAAAATAAAGATAAAAACAGTGCAGGAAATAAGTCACTGCATTGTTGGGGGTTAAATACTGTTGGATTCTAAGAAATTACACAAGAAAGCACCACATTGTTAAATACTGAACAAAACATTGTGTTTACATACTGGCTTACCGATAATTAAACAAAACAACAACAAATGTTGAACCAAACTCTCAGTGGATATATATATCCACTATTACAAAAACAAAACATTGTGTTTACATACTGGCTTACCGATAATTAAACAAAACAACAACAAATGTTGAACCAAACTCTCAGTGGATATATATATCCACTATTACAAAAACAAAACATTGTGTTTACATACTGGCTTACCGATAATTAAACAAAACAACAACAAATGTTGAACCAAACTCTCAGTGGATATATATATCCACCATTAAAAAAAAAAAACAGAGTCTTAGAAACATACCCAACTCGTTTCTAAATAAGTTCTCTTTTAACTTAATCAAATTACAAACAACAAATTTTATGTGAAAAAGATGCAAATATAATGTACAATATGATACAACTCTTAGTATATATTATCTCATAAAAACAAACACACTCACAAGTATAATTATCATTTAAAGCCCACAAAGTTTTTTTTTTCTTCTGGCTCCATCTTTTACAATTAACTGTAAAAATGAGTCTCTCAATAAAAGCATTTCTCTACAATTATCTTTGTTTATAACTTGGTGTAGCCAGCTATTATGAAATACAATTTCTTTATAACTTCAAAAGTCGATCTCAAATAGTAAAATAATCCGTTGTCATATAAAACTGAAGTACTATATATTTTCCAGTTGGACTTTTTTAGGGTGGGGTAAAGTAAGACAAGAATGATTGATTTTAATAAGATTATTTTCGAAAAATGATTGCTTGTATTAAAACTTGTAACCATCAGTTTGGCTTACTTCTTCAATATTCAGTGATGGTTGTATAACTACCTCATTTTGATGAGCAGATCTTTGGTAAGACAAATGACTATGGTGACTACAAAACAAAAATTGAGGTTAACAAATCTGACTAGAAACACCCTGGTTCAAAGAGGTCGAGGAGCATGCAATCCAAATACTTTCTGATCAATTGAGGGAATGTGGTTGGTTCCAGGTGGTCCCCTAGTCATGTAACCCTCCTGACGATGAAACACGATGAGTCAGTCTGTGGGCAATGGAGAACCCACCACTTCCTTCAAGCTGGGTCAAAACTATAATGACTTGTCTGGAAGGCAGAAAATATACAAACTGTTGTAACTCAAAATGAATGAAAATCATTTAATCTTCAGTAATTATCACTTTAGTATTTCATACAGTGTATTATAGTTTCATAATGATTAATAGAAAAACTTCTCTTTTCTTAGAGGTCCATAGCCTTGTAACTAGAACTTTATAGTTCCACTGATGTGAAGGACAGACCTATCACTTTGTATGTCTTGTAGCTAGAACTTTATAGTTCCACTGATGTGAAGGACAGACCTATCACTTTGTATGTCTTGTAGCTAGAACTTTATAGTTCCACTGATGTGAAGGACAGACCTATCACTTTGTATGTCTTGTAGCTAGAACTTTATAGTTCCACTGATGTGAAGGACAGACCTATCACTTTGTATGTCTTGTAGTT